AGTAACTCTTGAGGAATTGTAGGGCCTCCATGACTGCTGGAGACAACCGGTTGCGGCGAAGAGTGTCGGTCTCCTTGGCTGACGAGAACAGACGCTCGCAAGCTACAGAGGACGCTTGTGCAGGTAAAATGTCAAGAGCTACACGATAAAGCAAGGGGAAGGAATGCTTGTTGATCTGTTCTGCAGCATTAGTAGCTATTCGGCTCACAAAAGGGAGATTCGCGCACCTGCCAATACCGTAGGAGATCCAATCCGTTCTCGATTCCGTTTTGCACCACTGGTTCTTCGCAATAGCGGTCGAATTCGCGCAACGCACGCCTTCGATCGTCGGCTTCTAGGGCCTCTCGCGAGAGGCGATTCAGATCTCCGGCTGAATCTGCAGTTGAGCCAGCAGATTGCAAGTATGATGTGGACGATGTTCGTGTTTGTGATACTGATAAGTCTGACTCAGAGCTTGATGCGCTGAGACCAGCGGTACGGCGGAATCTTCGGCTAGTATTCCTCAAATTGAGGAATCCCCGGCCTTGTGCGAGAGATGCCATGGTAGTAGGGAGATCTGTTGAACTCTCAGGGACATTGGTAGCTTCGTGGATGCGTTGCTGGCGACGGAACTGTGTGAGCTGTACAATATGTAGAATGTCAGTTGTTAGGCAGAGCTCAGCCGCAAACATGCACGCACCGTGTCAATGACCCATCGGCGTGCCTCCTCGCACTCCTCTTCAGTCCATTGATCCTCGATCCATCGGAACTTGATGGCTGGATTGATCACTGAGTGCAGGGTTTCAGTTAATGAGACCAAACACAAGGCAAGGCCACATACCAATGGCAAGAACATAGGCACGGCTTCTACGACTTCGTGCTACATATTCCTCAATCTTGGATATCCCGAATTCGATGTACGGAGAAAGATATTGTAACTCTATCCGTAGTGCGCGCCAGAGCGACAGGACCTGCTCATATGCTGGGAGTGCAACCGGGAGCGTTGGGGTTTTCTCCGCAGAGAGAAGCTCTTGCGCGTGGTGTGGAATCCGTAGAACATCTTCTATATCGCAGGTCACCGTGTATTGATCCTTGTTCAGTAGCAAGGTATGCAAACCGGCTTGCTGGTATTTAGGTACACAGAACATACACTTGAGAGCCTTGGAAGTGATTCAATTGAATGGTTAGCCTTCCGACAATGATGTTGAGACTTGAACAGACCTCATTCGCATCCAATACACGTTCGAGCATGAGAGAAGTTGACGACCATCGGGTCTCGCAGTCACGCGTGAGCTGGCGCTCGGGAATTCTCTCTGGCCACACCTCTGAATCATTTCCTTGCCGGATGGTCTGAATGAGGTCTGAGCGCCGCTGACCGGATGACCGCACAGCGCCTACAATGTTGCGCACGCAGCCGACTGGATCGGTATCCAATGCGGCAGCATATGCTTCGTGTTCGTCCTTGTGTGGGGTCGTAATATCAGGCAGTGCGCGGCAGAGGGTGCCACCGTGTGTCTTGATACCATTGAGAATGGCTTGTACTGCAAGATTTATGACATGGGGGAAGCATCTGTTGACAATGTCAATATACATGTATGTATGTGCCCATGAAACATAGGAGTCTCCAAGCTCACCGGCCATGATTTCCCTCGCTGCTGAATTCGATCCCTTCTTGTCGAAAATGCTCCTCTAGGTAATCCATTGTTGTATCCATGACGGAGGCATTGTCTGTGGTGCAAAGCCCAATCTGCAATGTATAGTCACTAGATACATATGCCGGCACGATGTGGTGTTACAGATTGCAAACCTTGTGTTTGATTCCCGCCTTGTCAAGCTCATTCCATAGGTTATGGGCGATGTTTTTGCCATTGTGAGGTCCCTCAAGGCGCCGGAACATCAGCATATGATTGCGTAGGGCAAGATCTCCCTTTGCGTCGTAGCTAACATAATGAACTGTTGCACACGTAAATGTGTCTAGGTCCGAGTTTGACCAATCATCCCAAGTTAGGGAGATACGGCCGGGCGACTCCTGTCCAGGTATAATCAGTGCACCAGCACTCTTATATACATGTCGGCTCGATGCTCACCTTCATCTCCTTCCATATCATTTCCCTAGTTTTGCCGTAGCGGCGCAAGGTGTGATCACGAATCGCCGTTCGGTGCGGTATATCCTTGTCAGTAAGCACCGTGTTCACACGATTAACATATAGGAGCAGTTCACGGAACTCTGGACAGTCCATGACATTCAGGGCCTACAAGGAGTCATTGTGAGCTAACTGTTTGGTGATTGCATGCGTACATTCACCTACCTGATCATCAACTGCTATCCACCTTAGTAGATAGTCTCGGAGTCGTTCCGATGAGAATGACTCCCGTTCAGGCCGCTGAGGTGCACTTCGACCATCTGATGGGACATCATAAGCATGCTTGAGATTGTGAGTTGTCCTTTCTTCCTTGTATATATCAGAGTGACGGCTTATGAGGTGATTTCGGATCGTGTTTGTGTTGCCTCCCTTGCCAAGCTTGTACACCTTCCAAGTGGGCCATCTAGCTAGATATCAGTCTCTGACAAGGCCTGACAATCGCATATCGCACTCACTTGCATAGCTTGCAGCTCACGTACGGGGTGTCTGGCTTCTCCCGTAGAGGTTCATCTCCATCAGCGGGAGGCTCCGTATCGGGTCGTTCGGCAGACTGGATTGGTCGCATATGCCACCAGACGTCACTTGCCGCATAGGTTCTGGACTGGCTGGTGCGTTGAGAGACCGAAGGCTGTAAGGGATCAAGACTCGGAGCGGGAAGCGAGTCTGTTGTTGGCAAGTCAGGAATGAACGTCGAACTAACAGTTCTGTTATTCTGCGAAGAGCTCGGCGCAGGCGGATGAAAGGGACCAACACCAAATGTCAAAGGCGTGGCCTGAATTCCATTGACCTGCGTTCGAGCCCGTTTTTGCCGTGGATTTGTGATGTTGCTACGTGTCCGTGTTCGCTTTCCGGTTGGAGCGGGTGCATTCACAACTTGATCTTGTAGATTTGTAGTGTC